ATAAATTGTACCATTCTATTCGTTTTATAACGTGCAAAATGACATTATGATGAAAAAATAAATGCCAACACATGTTTTTCTTATGGCACAAGAAAATTAAATATCATCATGACGGAAATAAGATACATTATAGTGTCTGTGGAATGAAAATGCTAACTATTTCTTTTTAAATATAACGACATAAGAACAGAATTAAAAACTAGTTTAGAAAACTTGTCCCATGTTATAAATATTCAACTCGTTACCTCAGGGTACTCCTCAGGGTGCATGTGATCACATTACTTATGAATAGAATGAAAAGGTCTACACGATTTCATATTTAATATATCATAACTGCCTGACTAAAATACTTCCTGCATCCATCTCACCAAGTGCCTTTTTCATCAGCCTTCACCTTTTCGGATCTTTTTTTACTTTTTAAAACCCATAACTATTGCTATTATACATTGTCATTATCTCCATCAATGTTAAAATATATACAGTATATATAGTTTAGTTTTGTGTGTGCATGTTCAATTCAATGTTATATTATATACAGGAAAAGTCATTGCCTGAGGGAGTTGAAACTTAAGTTTCTCAAGAATTTCTAAATTCAAAAACGGAAAATTATTGAAAGGTTTTTTGTTTTGAATCATGTCAGAACCATGTTGATGACACCATCGGGGACTGACCAAAGTGTTTATGATTTGTAATGAAATTTGCTACTTGGCACGTTGTCAATGCATGTCATTATTACTATTACATGGATCTTGTTATTCGCGCGTTGATAACAGTAATTATTACCTAATAAAGAGTATTTTACTGTTTTATTAATATTTCTATATTATTTGCTATTTTTCTGCCATTTTTTGTTCCATGGTCTATTGCACTGGAAATTATCGTTCTATTGCACCTGTGTGCAGTCTATTGCACTGACCTGTTATGACCTCTTATTCTGAAATCTGATTAGTTGAAAGGTATTCTTGGGTTTACACATTATAATTAATACACAGTTGTTACTTTCGTGTGTTTTATTTCTAAGAATTTGTTAGAACTGACTCAGTATGTATTAGGTAATAAAACAGTTATTGAATGTGTAACAGTGCAATAGATCAAAATATATTTCCCTCGGTATAAAGATCAGCTCATTGTTCTATTGCCCTCAGTCGTTGGCTTCGGGCAATAGAACAATGATCTGATCTTCATACCTCGGGAAATATATTTTGATCTATTGCATAGTTACATATTAAATAGCTGTATACTGTTGCCTGTTCTGTTTCTTAATGACCATAATGAACTCAAAAATTGATTTAATTGTGCAATATTGTTATTTGTTATAAAACCTTGATGAAGTCAATAAAATTTGTCTGTCACTATAGAAATTAAAATTGATTGTAATAATGTAATGCTATAATAATGAAGGTCTGAGTACAAACAATAATTATATATTGTTGGATTATTGATATTGGTTCTATAAAGCAGTAAGGAGAAAACAGTACCAAGAGACCTTAATTAAACCATGAGAAATATTAACTAGAGGCTCTCAAGAGCCTGTGTCGCTCACCTTGGTCTATATGCATATTCAACAGGGGACACTCTCCAACACTGTAGACGAGAATAGAATTAATGACAAAAATCTCTGGGGTTTTTTTTTGTATCTTATATTGCTGATCATTGAAGTCTGTTTAGTTTTTTTCTATCTTCATGATCTTATTCAGCTTTTGCTCTAAACACAAAAGAGGGTAAAAAAACTCCTATAAAGAGTAACAGTCTACTTATTATATCAGCAAAATTTGACTTGTTAGTAGGTGTCGTCTTTCTTATCATTTTTTTATTATTTAAGTTTCTTTCTATCTATTATAATTAATATCAAACAAGGAAAAACGCCATAAAATGGTAAAAATCATAATTAAAGGCAATAACTCCAATAAGGAGTCGTCGGACAATTTCTGCCATTTGTCTTAATTGTAGATCTTGTCTTGCTGATCATTTTTGTATATTTAAGTTTCTTTCTATCTATTTATAAGTTTTAAGATAGAAGACAAAAACGCAAAAAAATTGTACAAATCGGCATCAAAGGGAAATAACTCTAATAAGGAGTCAACTGATGATTTCAACCATAAGACTTATTTGTAGAACTTGTCCTTCTGATCATTTTTGCATTTTAAATTTTCTCTCTATCTTTTATAGTTTTCAAGATATGATAATATGCAAAAATCGAAAAAAGTGGTAAAATTTGTCATTTAAGGGCAATAACTCCTACAGGAAATTGTCTTACAGTTTTGACGTATATGGATAATTGGTAGAGCTCAACATTCTGAACAATTTTACCCTTTTCAGATTTCCTCTTTTTATAACGGTCATCAGAATAAGAGACAAAACTTGCATTTTACCCAATATGTTTTTTACAAAATTTATGAAAAATTGTTAAAAATTGACTATAAGGGCAATAACTCCTTAAGGGGTCAATTGACCATTTTGGTCATGTTGACTTATTTGTAGATCTTACTTTGCTGTACATTATTGCTGTTTACAGTTTATCTATATCTATAATAATATTGAAGATAATCACCAAAAAACTGCAAAATTTTCTTAAAATTACCAACTCAGGGGCAGCAACCCAACAACGGGTTGTCTGATTTGTCTGAAAATTCCAGGGCAGATAGATGTTGACCTGATGAACAATTTTACCCCGGGTCAGATTTGCTCTAAATGCTTTAGTTTCAGAGATATAAGCCAAAATCTACATTTTACCCCTATGTTCTATTTTTAGCCATGGCGGCCATCTTGGTTGGGTCGTCGGACAAATTTTTTAAACTAGATACCCGAATGATGATTGTGGCCAAGTTTGGTTAACTTTGGCCCTGTAGTTTCAGAGGAGAAGATTTTTGTAAAAGTTAACGGACGACGACGGACGACGGACGCCAAGTTATAAGTAAAGCTCACTTGGCCCTTTGGGCCAGGTGGGCTAATAAAAGGAGATGTGATGTATACGTCAATATGGCAACAACCCAATGACATAACAATGACAACTAGAGGTCAACATACACTCATCAACAATAGACAAGTTTATGTCCTATATGCTAAGCTCTTATTCTAATTCTATGTAACATATGAGCAGTTGTATAACATAAGACATCCATTTCCTAGGTTCCTGACTTGAGACAGGCACATGAATATAATGGCTCAAGATAGACTTTTCTTGATATGTCGACTTGATACAACATTATGATTTAGAAAATAAATCAAAATAATTAAAGTGGATGTCAGTTTAACGTTAATATTACAGTAACCTAACAATACAGGCTGATATATGTTAGTTTAACGTTAATAATACAGTAACCTAACAATACAGGCTCGTGAATACAGACAGCATTAAAATAGTTATGACAGTTTGTATGAAGTTAATGTAGTGGGATCTGCATCTTGTAAAAAGTACATATCAAAACAGGTCCTAGAAATCGTCGTAAACTTGCAGTTTTGGTTCAAGCTGAAGGTCTCGCTATGACTTGAAATGATGAACAGAGATAAAAGCGCTGTCCCTTTCTTTCTGTTTTTGTCAATTATCTGTTGGAATGTGTCATGGGTTTATACACCGTATCCCTTCTTTTTCATGTACATTGCAGTCTTTCTGTCTGTCTTTCTTTTTATTTTATTAACTTTAAGCTTAAAACAAGTTGTATATTTTATTTTTGACAATTTTAGTTTCCTGGGTTGTTTTAATACTGATGATATGGGTCTCTACTCGTTTCTGAAATCAATTTTAAAACTTGTAATTTCTGTTTTACCTACCCACAAGGAATCACTGTTAGCTGCAGTTCATGTGAAAAAAAAATTGAATGAGATATAACAGAAAGCTCAATGTTAGTGGTTACAAAAGAGAGGCAAAAATTGTTTCGAAGCTATAAAATAGAAAATATCCAACGTCTTAAAAAAAACTATGAAATTCTTCTTGTGGTACTATGAGGCTTTTTTAAAGTCATTATACACACATTCTTGTTAATAGGGATACTACTTTCGGAAAGAAGTTTGATTAAATGGGTGTGTAAATGTAAAATTACGTAATGAATTTTAAATCCATGTCAATTAACCTCCTTTCAATATCATAACACAGAAACCGTGCCAAAAAGTCAGAGTGTATTAAATCGACCTTCTGCATCGTCTGTTATAGAAATAGCAGATTATTCATTTAATTTAAACGGTTTGTTTTTTTTACACCGTTTAAAGTAATTTTAACTTTTCATTCAAAAATAAAAATTAATCATATATACATTCTTCAAACAGGAGGTCTTGTTTTTACACGGATAGAATTTAAATGTTTTCAGTAGCTGCTATTTCTTTACAGGTTATTAGAGTACATATGTAATTGTGAATGCAATAAAGTGCAAACATGTACATCGTACAATAAAATTATCTGGCTCAACTTCAAAATGTCAAGATATATTTGTAAAAATAAAAATAATTGTCATTCAAATCATCAGTTACAGAAGGAAAATAATTCAAAAGGACTAAAGAAAACTGTTTATTCAATGGCAGCTTAATACTGCAGTATAAATATATATATGTAAATGCTATATTGAATTTCCCATACAAATATAGCTGAGTATATAATTATCTATATATTATTTTTCATAAACCCTTAAATGTCTTTAGTGCATCGGTTTATTACTGATGTCAGATAATTTTAAAGTCAATAAATATTCGTTTTATTATATAAATTGGTCAACCTTGGCAATGTGGCAATAAAAAGAGGAGTTGGAAGGGAAATATCTCTTAATAATTCATTCAGTTATACATTTCTGATCAGTAATACGTTTCAATTAACTTACTGAAATGAACATTGTTCCACGGATTACCTACCAAACCCTTTTTTCTCATTTACATACGTACTTACATCAAGGAAGTCAATGATCGAACAGCGAGGAGTTTATTGTGTTTTGTTTGACTATGTCTATTCTGAATACTTTTAATTTCACATTTCAAAGACCTAGAATAAATATAGTTTGAATAAGATTATTTACCTGAAGAGAAAAAAATATGAAAAGATCTCTGAAGTCAAAGTGTTAACAACTACACTAATGTTATTGATATGGGATAAAACTAGGCGTTTTCTTTGTTAAAAACTACACACAAAAATAAAATTCGGTATATGATCTTGTAAACAAACCAATCGATTTAGAAAACTAGGTGTCTTGTTTCAAAACTTTTCATATAAACACACACGTAACAATATTGTTTTAGATAGACTGATTACTATATCACATCTTTTAAACATTCTATTAAAACAGTTTGGAATACAGGCAGATTAACAGAGGATAAGGGGGTAGTTGAACTCTTTCCATAATTTGTGCTGGTCCCTACCCAAAAGTTGGTTCCCTTGTCTATGGTTTTGAATGCTAATGGGTTGTTTGATAGCCAAAGCTGTTCCAATTGTATAGCATATAACTTGCTGGTCACCTAGTTTTGATTCAAGGACTCTTAATAATTAAAACCAAAGCCGTCCCTATACATTTAATGGATATATAAAACAATAAATATAAAAGTGTATAAATAAGTAAATGTTTAAAGTTTATATCACACGTCCTAATTTACTTACTGTCTGGATAAAATGCTTGGACGAAATCTCCAGTAAATATTAATATATTCAAATACAACATTTATAACAATACTGTATAGATTTTTTAAAATAAACAAATCGCTGACAAGAAAGAGGCCCTATTGGACACAATTGTCACACATATCCATCTCCATCTCAAGACATCTATAAAACATCAAGTTTCGACCGAAAAATAACGTCTCTTATTTTCGGTTGTTATTTTTAGATTCCTGGAAAGGTATTGTTGCAATACTATGCCTCCTTGAAAGTTTTTTCTCATTGTTTACACTAGTAACAGAGCTGTCTGAAAATATACGATTCCGAGGGCTCACTTCAACACGAGATATCCTTGGGTGACCTGCATTTCTTTTAGCAGAATAATCCATAGAAAATTTCCTGAATGTGTCTATATCTCTCACAACATCTCTTTCTTCATCACTAAAATCCTCGTCGGATTCATATTGTTCACTCTTACTTTTTTCAAGTTTCTTTTTCTTTCTCATATCATCATAAGCTAAAGTTAAAGCTTCCTGAAAGATATCAGAACCTTTCGGAACTCCTTTATTCATTGCAGATGAGTCTGGTCTAGGGACTGGGTCCTCGATAGCATCCACGATGCTCCGACGACGACCCGTGTTCAATTCAGATATCAAATCCATTCTACGTTTTCTTCAATTTATCTTCTGCATACATTCCCCTACTTTATCTTTCATGTTTATAAATTGATGTAATTATTACTTAGTGCAGTTCGATTAATCCACGTGAAGCTATGTAATCATCTATCTTTGATCGGAGAATCCGCGTTCACTCTCTGAATTGTATTGTATCGCACTTTTCAGATGTTATTATATTTTATGTCCTTGGTACAGAGAAAAATTTCAACAGTTTTACCTATAATCTGCCGTCAATAAGTTTAAATTAAACGTTATCTGAGTGTTTTATGAAAAAAACCGCTTGACTGACTATTTGTGAAAGCTTGTTTTTACTGGTACAATTACTCTATATGTGACTGCCATCAACTAGGTATTTAATAGGTAGATCATGTCGATTTCAATAAACTTCAATAATAATATGCAAGTCACATTTATATAGCTGAAGTTTAAAATCATAGTAAATGAGGCTTCATGGGGTTTTTTGTTTGCCTTAATGAAGTAAAAATTCAAAAAAACTGGTCAATAAACTTTACGATATTATTTAATGTTAAAATACTATATTGTAGCTATCATTTTCGTGATTTCAAGTTATTTAGAGGCGTATGAGTATCGTAATGATAATATGATCTCTGTCTGTAAGATTTTAAACGCATCAGCAGGAAATTATATGTTGCTTCAGATATATGCATGCAACCAGTTTACTTTTTCGCGAAAAAATCACCGATTATCGGATTCTAGAAACATTAATTGGAAATTGGCGGGAAAATGCGAAGACAATACCAAGGGACAATAAGAAAAAGAATAAATCAATGAAAGACAGAAAATAAGATGACATAAAAATAACGAACTAACCCGGAAAGGTCGACATTTTTTTCTCTACTTGTACTATTTATCCGTTCATGAGTCATAACTGGTGGAAGAGAAGCAAATGTTTCTGGTCTTACCCTAAAACATTGCCACATACACATTCTTTAACTCCAATACATTACCGAATAAGAAATCATATTTTGTGGACTAACGATAGACAAAAAACTTTGCATATAGAATCTGCACAGAAAAATGAAAAAAAAAACACAGTAATTTCATGTGTCTGAAGCGTTTTTCTGGGTTTACCTTCATCAAGAATGCCCAAAGCCTAATCACGGATATTTGAAATAAAAATACACAAAAAGATCAAAGAAAACTAAAAGAAAAGAAGTACGTACTATCATGTCCTGCAAAAGGATAATCAGAAACTGTTCCTGTTCAACTATTTGCACCGTCGTGTTGCTCATGGCAACAACAAAAGTCGGTGATTAGTCGCATTCGGTGATGTTATAGTAGAGAAAAAAAGGACGTGAAATTGTGCCACCTAAAATCTTCACACTTTCTTTATTAAACTACTTGAAAGACCCCTCCGCCCTTCCCAAGAAAAAAACCCCAGAAAATACTACCTTTGATAGAACATTCGTAGTTTTGGTCTAACCTGGGACATACTATTGACTACACGATTTCCAGGTCTAATTGGATTTCGGGTCGGCACTACATGTATCAGGTAAAACGTTTGTTTGATCTTCCATACATATGATATCTTGTTTCGATTTTTCCGATGATTTTATTTTCACATTCTGAATACGGTTAGTATAATTACTGAAGGAAAAACAGTATGAACTTATTCAAAATGAAACAAGTTATAGTGTTCATTCAATTTTGGCGTGCAAAGTTCTTGTAAATGACAATAACTTTTGTATCGTCCTTCATCTAAGCAGCACACAATAGTTCTGATCACCATTTAAATTAACGGTAAATTATGCTACATCTACAAGACTTTTCTAATTGGATGGGTAATTACAGGTCCTCGATGAAACAAGGCTGTTTAACTGTACCAACAATGGAATTGAAAGAAACATAGCTGCTTAATGGCAGAGGACAATATTTTGTAATTGTTATAACCTCGTCAGGTTCAATCAAAAACACTTGTCTGTTTGTAAGACTGGTCATTTTACTAACTTATATTGAGGGTGGGGTGAATTTACATTTCATAAACCAAGTTCCCTTAACTCTTTTGACAAAATCAATACCAAAGGAACTACGCTTTTATTGCTGTTCTTCTGCTCATATTCACAGTGAAGACGTTATCACATAACAACACATCAGGCAAGTACAAGACGCTAGATGTTAATCACGTTATATCTTCTTCTGCTCATATTCACAGTGAAGACGTTATCACATAACAACACATCAGGCAAGTACAAGACGCTAGATGTTAATCACGTTATATCTTCTTCTGCTCATATTCACAGTGAAGACGTTATCACATAACAACACATCACGCAAGTACAAGACGCTAGATGTTAATCACGTTATATCTTCTTCTGCTCATATTCACAGTGAAGACGTTATCACATAACAACACATCACGCAAGTACAAGACGTTAGATGTTAATCGCGTTATATCTTCTTCTGCTCATATTCACAGTGAAGACGTTATCACATAACAACACATCACGCAAGTACAAGACGTTAGATGTTAATCACGTTATATCTTCTTCTGCTCATATTCACAGTGAAGACGTTATCACATAACAACACATCACGCAAGTACAAGACGCTAGATGTTAATCACGTTATATCTTCTTCTGCTCATATTCACAGTGAAGACGTTATCACATAACAACACATCACGCAAGTACAAGACGCTAGATGTTATAATCACGTTATATCTATATAAATAAGAAGATGTGGTATGAGTGCCAATGAGACGACTTTCCATCCAAGTCACAATGTATATAAAGTAAACAATTATAGGTCAAAGTACTGCCTTCAACACAAAGCCTTGGCTCACATCGAACAGCAAGCTATAAACGGCCCCAAAATGACTAGTGTAAAACAATCCAAACAGGAAACCCAAAGGTCTAATCTATATAAAAAAAAACGAGAAACGAGAAACACCTGTGAACCACACCAACAAACGACAATCACTGAACAACAGGTTCCTGACTCAGGACAGGTGCATAAAAATGCAGCGGATTTTGTCTAGTATACGCTATGTATATAAGTATAGTTGATTATTTGTATCAAGTTTAAATTTATTTTTATTTTGCAGATTGGTGTACAACACTGTTGTTCGTCACTGGCTTCTGACAATGATGACACTACATAGAAAAACGTGTAGCTGTTTAGAAAGGGTCGAGCTCGATCAGAGTTATAATGACACTTTCCTAATCATCAAAGCAAAGTATAATGGATTTAGCATGTAAGTGTTAAAGACATTAGAAATTTACAAAATGATTCAATCAGATTGATTTTAAAATACTCTGGTCAAATTATTGATTGCGTACTGACTACTAATCTGGTGATAACCTTGGGGACTAATAGTCCACCATCAGCGGTATTGACCAAGTGCTAGAAAATGAAATAATACTTTATGAATTTGGGTCGGAAGTGCTTTTCTGGATTATTCGTAATGAGGAACGCTAAAACAGAAGTTTGAATGAAACATTCAACTTTTTTTTAAAGTTTACATTATCAATATATCTAGGTACAAAGTTAATGTAATTAAACTGTTCGTGTCCCAGACATTTTCTATATTTGTTACACTATCCATATGCATTTCCAAAATATGTTTCACATTTTATTTCAGTTTTAACCCTTTTCGTGACGAACTCTCAATTACTGACTAATCCTAATATCAATTGCAGTGTTTTTACAGCAGTTTTAAATATAACCGGGAATAGTAGTTCGTATGCATTATGTACAAATATAATATGTTTCAAATCATGTTTCAAACGGAATGTTTCATAAACCTTTTCACTTTCGTGTTCAGTCGCGATTTATCTAGTTGCCATCGGAGTGACAGTTGACGTGGTCGCAGTGGTCGTAATTGTTGGCTTTACTGTTTGATCTCACAAATACTGTCCTCCTTGATAGTGAAGTATAGCAAAAAGGCAAGAATATACGTGAATATCCCGGTAAAAATACCAATTATTATAAAGATTATGGCTTTTCGAGAGTACGATTGCGCTTTCTCGTGCTTTTTCTCGGCAACAGCATCCTTCTGTAGAACTAAAAAGAGAATAAAAAAAATACTAGTATTATGCCTTAGCAAGGGATTGTACTTCATATTATTAGACAGACTAAATTTGTTTCGTTTTAGCGCTTTTCTGGATTTTTTAGATCAAAAATTTTAATTTTAAAGGTTTGAAAATTTAAATCTCAAAACCCAGCATTTTACTATTTCAATTTTTATGTAGTCGGAATTGCGACTTTGAAGGTTTTAAAATACGACTTTTACAAATTCTAGGTTCTCCTTTTTAAACTCGAAATTTTGCTTTTTAAAGGTCGATAGTTTGACTCATCAATCATCATTTTCGGCTTTTAAGATATGTACGTGTAATTAGACATTAACATGAATATGATAAAAAATGTTCAGTCGGGTGAGAATAGCCTTTATTTACCTAATTGACAGTTTACTTAGCCTAACTGTATTCTTTATAATTAAGTTCACCGGGTAGAATATTATGTTCAGTTCGCCTGGTGTAATCCGATTTATCCGCTTTTTCCTTGTAATTTTATTATTTTTATCATCCGCCAGAAGTATTTATAATATAATATATCCATCAACGCCTGGGAAATGTTCTAAATGTTCTTTATATTGTAGCTAGTTTATTCGGACTATGATCGATTGCTTTATTAATATACGAAAAATGTCGAAAGTTTCTGAATATGCCAATAATTTTATACCTCATATAAAAGATAGATTAAAGTTTCACACAAAACTATAAAAAAAAACTTACTCGTAAAGTAAAATGCAAAGAAGCCAAATATGTACTTGAAGACAAAGATTGTTATAATCGCTGGAACTGTGTAGTTGGCGTAAGTTGGTTCTTGTTCGTTAGTAAATGGCTTCACTCTGTACTTGACGTTTGAATTCATTCTCTTAAAAAATAATAACTAGTTTAAGACCATCAGAAAAAGTATTTCATAAATCATAATTAAAAAAAACAATTAATGATTTAAAGATAAATGCTTGTAGAAATATCAGTATAAACTGTTTTATTTTCAATATGGGAAAAGTATCATGCGATACCTGCTTAGCTAAGTCCACCCATCGTATTGCGTTTGGTCATATAACGAATTAATAAAAAATGGGAAATACGTTAATGTATGTTTATTACATCTATGACTAAATACGAAACATATATACTAAATATTATAAAATGTTTACCTCTTTTTTTAAATAAAAAATTAAGTTAGTGCTAAAACTTTATATGGTACTACTGTATTTAATATCTAGTTATTACATTATATGCATTTTGCTAATGAATATTTATCATTATGCAAATTGTGTGTTCAACTTTTGTAAAGGTTTTTTGAAACAAAGTATCTTTTGATATAAGAATTAATGTAGAAGTAAACTTTACATCAACGAG